TATTCTCATTCTATGCCACTACTGTTAGTTATGAATGTACTTCAAGAGCAACACAGAAAACCAACTGTCCTACATAGTAAAAGGTTGAAATGGATCCCTCATACTATTAGTACACATCCACAGCTCACATCGAAATTGTTCTGAAGGGACCATTACAGTATATTCAGAGTGTCTATCTGGAAAATAATACACAACTTCTTCATAAGGCCCGTGGCAGTGTATCAAATTGGAAGGACCCTCAAAGCTGAGCACATGAACAGCATTTCTTCCCTTTATTTAATTTTAATCTTACCACAAAAATTTTCTTCCTTCCCCTCATTGTGGTGGCTTATGAAATAGCACAGTTTCTGAAAGAAACACATTTTTATGCCATATCTTCTATGTTAGGATTGAAATTGAGCACCAGAATCAAGCCTCAGATTAGATGGCCACGATTGCTGCATTACACATGCCAGTGCTAGTAGAAGTATGTTGAGCACGTAGTGGTTGTCCATCAAGGGTTTGAATGACTTGACTTCTCAAAGTGCTTCAGTCTGAGCAAGTGCTCAGAGGATGTACTCTCTAGGGATGGGATCTAATGCACTTCTACACACAGAAGTGAAAACACAAGTTCTTACATTTGTAGGTTGTGTTTCCCAGAATTACTAGATTTTTTTGGGGACAGATGTCAAAGGCATAATTCATGTTCTCATGCAGCAGATTATTTGGGAACTTCTCTAAAAGTACTGTGGATGTCAGCACGGTGAGGCAGTGAGTGTTGCATTTCAGCAGTGGCAGCAGTGACAGAAGGCCACTTCCATAAAGATTTTTACAAGCACAGCCCATCTCGGACAAAAATGCACAGCTAATGGTGGTGACTAAGTTGAGGAGTAGTGTTTTGTAGCTGAGAATTTTCTCTATCAAATACTTATTATTCTCTTGTAGCTGTTGCTGTTTCCAGAGAAATAGATAGGATGCATAACTTTTGGAGCAACCTACATAATACTTTCTAGAACAAAGGTCTTGGTTTCTCTGAGTTCAGAGTCAGGTATGATTGCAATGGCATACAAATCAGTGAGAATAAAAGTGCTTAGCACAAAACGGTACGTATATTATGTCAGATAAATGATCAAAATATCCAACAGGAGGGATTGGAAAATTGTGTCCATTTATTTGTATTTTAGAATATTCCAGGCACAATTTTCAAGTACATAGAAGCACATTCTCCAAATGGGAGCAAAAAACTAAGTGTCACATAGCAAGAAAACAATTAAAATAAGTATAAGCAGTATGAAATCTTTCTAAGTTTACAGTGCTACCTACTATGAATGCTCTCTTTAGCACTACAAAAAGACAACCGAAAACCACATGTAATAAGTAGCATAAAAAGAACCTCCCAGTCAGTTTGTCAGGAACATATAGTAGCAACTGTGTAACAACAGAAAAATGCTTGTATCCTGTATGTACATGCACATATACACACATATACTTACGTAACTGCAAGGCCACAAGAAAAAAAATCTGGGAAAATTTACGAAGGGAATTTGAGGGGAGTGCAGTATATTAAAAAATAAAAAAGGATACTTACTAATCAACAAGTGGAATCAGGACTGATTCTTCATCAAACTTTCCCTGTTGCATCCAGACTGGGATACACAGTCCTATACCATGTTCCTGGCTTGGATGCTACCTTGGGAGGAGTCAGGAGCTCTCATCTCACATGATCTCATCTTTCAAAGGAAAATGCATATGAGTAGAGGGAATCCATGGAAAGCCTAAGCGGGTTGCAGGGCTGGGGGAGGTGGGAAGGGCTTTGATTTAGCTGAAAGATGGAATTGTAGGACCTTCACTTTCCTGTGGGGCAGTTCACTGTAGTGGCATCACTTTATAAGGTTTGCTTTACATCATGGAGTGGTCATCAGAATGTGGGTTTGATTTCCATTAAACTAAAAGCTGTGCTCCAGTCAGGTTGCATTCAGCCCGTAGGAACAAACTGTATGGTGTGGGCATCAAGTACTTAACACTAGCAGTTTCGGGCTACAGAACTTATCCAGCTGAGCTCATTTCTCACTAATATAGACACAGGCTTTGAAAATATACAAACTAACATGAAACAACAAGTACTATAGCTTATATTTGCCATGTAAGAGATTAGTCTTCTTTGTTCTGTCTCACCACTGTCTGGAAAAAAGGCTTTCCCTGTAGACACTCTTCATGTTTGCGGATCTATGAGTGTCTGTGTGAGGAGGGAATAGATGAAAAGTCAAAAGAACTGTGAACACATTTTTTTTCTCTCTGTGCGTCTCCAGAACTACTATTTTCAGCAGCATTATGAAAGAACTACAGGCTTCTTAGTTACTCTTGTGCATGTACAGTTACTGTTAGAGACTTGCCATAGATGCCCCAAATCTGTAATTGCTGCTCTGCCAACACCTCAGTGCTAGCCATGTAAATAAAGTCATTTGGTTACACTTAGACATGAGGTTTTTCTTATAGCAGAACACAAAATTGTGGCTGTGAGCAGTGTAGTACGTTCATAAAAGCAAGTTTAACTATTTCTGATATTTTAATAGTAAGTATTTCCTGACTGGCTTCAACAATTTGTATGCTGCCAGCCACTAATGGCACTCACAGAGCTCCAGCAAAGTGCTCTGGATGACACATGATATGAAAAAAAAAATCACAAAAACAATAATAACAACAAAAAAAAACCCTACTTTTGCTGCTTAAACTAAGTCTACACACAACTTACATTATTCATTATAGTGCTGGAATAAAATACATAACATGCTGTCATGCATAATACATGGTAAGAACATGCATTAGTTCAACTTTACAGTATAGGGCTATTAAATCAGGACAGCAGTGGCAGGTGCTGACAGCTGCATATCTGCCTGAATTCCCAGAAACAGCAGCAAGAAAAAAAAAAAAAAAGTAAAAAAAAAAAAAAAAAAAAGTAAAATCAGCTGTTTAAAACACTCATGAAATGGTGACTCCTTTTGAGTTAACCTTGCAAAAAACTAACAAAACCCAGTGATCTCTTTCCCACCTAGTTTAAAGAAACTGAGTTCAGCACCTGAGTTGAGATTGTGCCCCAAGCAAGGTGATGCTGCTAACTTGACAAAGCCTGCTGCTCCTCAGTCCTGGGTCAGCACCAGCCCTCTGCCATTCCCACAGAAGGTGAGGACAGAGCAAACTTCATGCTGTGCAAATCAGCTGGAGAATGCATGTCATGCAGTGGGACTGGATGAGCCTACAAAAGCTGGGTGAGAGAAGCCAGGGATGCCACACAGATTATTGTTTTCCACAGAAGCCTTATCTTTCACTGGGGAAAAACGGTGTCTTTCTCCTTCACCTTGTTTCTGGAGGGTTTGCCTAGAGGCTCCAGTGCAGAACAGACACAAGAGACTTCTGTGGATTATGCGACACAAAGCTTACAAAAAGCTTGGTTTCCTCTGTGTCATTAGCTATACATCGAAAAATATCCAGAGAAATGTACACAAACCTGGTGGCTGGCTATTCACCATATCATATATTCACTCCCCCGTGGTTAAGTCACATTCCTCTGTACCCTCTCAGGACAGAATGAGACACATCTGCTGAAAATGAAACACTTTCTGCTCAAAAGAGCTAACTATGCCTAGTCAGGAAAAACAGTTCTTTTTTAGTAAATTCATGATTTCCTGGTGTACACTGTACATGGCAATGACCACAGAGACCTCTCTGTAATCCTTTGGCACTGACACCAGAGTTTCACTCTGCAGGGTACCCTCAGGTTCATCATAAACAAATCTCAGACTTGCTCAAGCCTCACTAAAGACGTATGCTCTTTCTGAGCTATATGCAGAAAAAAAATTGTCAGCAACATTTAAGTATCAATATGCAAAGTGGTAAGGGCACCATCCAGTTATAATTCATGAGGGATTACTTCATTAATTTTTCCTACCTGGACATTTCCTCTGTTTGAGCACTTGTGATCTGCTGCTGGCTGGCTTTGTGTATGACCACGCTTCTGTTTAGCCCTCCAAGTGTTGTAATGTCTCCTCCTTAACATCACTATCTTCACAGACGAAATACTGCTTACCAGAGTACTCAGAAGTGCAAAAAATGTACTACTGGGATTGGTGCACTACTCACAATCTGAACTTGCTAGAATGATTTGTGTTAGTTTGAAATCAGTCCTCAGAAATGCTTAAATCAGTGAGTCTTTAACTGACAATTCAAATCGTACCAGACTGACTTCTTCATCTGTGGTGTTGCTCATACAGAAATTTTCACAACACAGAATGTTCCTCTGCCTTTTCCTGCAAGGGCATTTTCTCCTTGGTGGTAATTACCATCAGAGAGTGGAGCAATTCTAGAGCTAAAGGCATTCAGAGAAAGAGAACATCTGGAAAAATACTTGCAGGAGAGATCAAGGGGTACTCCTCTCTTGAAGAATTTTAGGGGCATTTTTTAGAAGTTGGAACACCATCTGCTCCTTAGTAGAACGCTTCCTCAATCCTTTCTGCTTACTGATGTACCTGATACAAGCACTCTGCAGATGAACTCTCCCAGCCCAGATGGGAAGGGAATTTGGCTGGATACAGAAACTGCTATTTTCTTTCTGCTAAGAGGCCTTGGTACAATCAGAGGGAAGTGATCTGGACCTCTTCTGGGGATGAAAAGGTTGACATTATTTTTGCTACATTGTTTTGGAAAATGAAATCCAGTTTTGTTTTTTTTTTTCATTATTCAGCTAATTAACTGTGAATTGGCAATCAAAAAGCTGTAAGTAAACTTCTGCTCCTATTCAAAACTTCTTTTTCTGAAAAATAAAATCAGAAGGTAATGCAACATGAAATATATTAATATTTAAACTTTTAATAAGATGAAGGCTATGGGAAGCTGAAAAAAATATATTTTTTAAAATGTATTTTGAACAGTCAACTAAATTATAGAAGAAACATCTGGTGATGACTTAGTTGACTAATGGTAAAAAAAAAAAAAAAAAAAAAAAAGAAAAAAAGCACCAAATTATTTGTAAGTATTCCTCTATTAGCAGCAACGCGAAGATCTATTTTGAAAACCTAAGGTAAACTCCCTGCTTGTTCCATACTCATAACTAGTTCATTAAAACAGGACTGCTTGAATGAATAAGCAATTAGGATCTGATTACATTCAGTAAATTGTAGTAGGCTTTACTTTAAAGAATTAATAAATGATTCTCAGCTGATGTCTTAACTGTTCTCAGAAGGTGAATCAAGATCTCTTATCATACAGCCAAGCAGTGAATTTTTTTCTTCAGTACTACAGTGCTGATTTGTAACAAATTTCTACAAAGTCATTTCTTTGTAGAATCATCTTCAACACAGTGGTCACAGTTCCTTAATCAGATAATAAAAATCATGCAAATGTGTGTTTAGTTTATGCTAAAGACAGGCTCATTTAAATAATGGAACCAATGTTCATTTACTGTACCGTTAATGAAGCCTGATGCAGTGTTTCTAGAAGCAGATCTCTTACCACAAATCCAAGCCCCTCTACAACACTTTTACTTTTGGTCTGTGACAACCACACTCTAGCGATCTTCTCAATTTTGCTGTACATTTCACTGTTCCTAGAGCTATATTTTTCTTAGATACTCGTAGCACGAGATATTACTTCATACTGCATGCAAGCACTCCACAAAGAGCTGCAGCATGAAACTCAGTTTACAATGCATTGACAAGCTGTAACTGCCTTAAAAATTTTCTCAGGCTTAAAAACTGCCATGCATGTGAATGTAACTCAGGCAGAATTCTTACACTATGTTTTCTGAAGAGAAAGTCTACACTTTGTGAGAACACTTCTCATGTAAATCTGTTCAGCCCAACTGCACTCCCTGTGCAGCACTTTCTTTGTAACATTCACTTTATCCAAACACCTTCTAAATCCAAGTCCAGATTGACTTTCCAGCCCCTCTCCCCACAGGGGGCTTTTGATTGTTCCATGTTTCCCTGTACAAAATGTGGGACATTGTTCCTAATTCTGTGTGCCTTGCTTTCTTCAAATCCTGCATTACAATCTTTATTAGCTTTCTGTCTATCCAGCCATCCATCTGAACTGGAAAGATGAATATGTATATAACAATAAATCTAGCTCACTGTCTTTTACTACTGCAACCCTTCATGCATCCATGACCCTTTCACCACTGGATTTTATCCTGTGCTATATTAGACTATGATTGGTTTTAAACTCCAGGGACCAGAAACAGCCACTTTAACACTACTATTTTTATATTAGAGCATTGCCTGTAACCTTCAGATATGTGAGGCATCTCTTCTACAAGGCAGTACACAAATGCAATACATTGCAAATCTGAGTATCTGTCTCAAGAGCTTACAAGAAAGTCAGTCAGTCAGGGAGTAGGAAAATGTCATTGTTCTCCTCTTCCAAGCAGGAAGATGAGACATCAAGTCACATAGGTCTGGGACAGAGTCTGTATTTTGATATAGATATTTATCTGCAATTGTAACAATGGCCCCAGCCTTTGGCATCCAGCATGAACACTTATGGCACTAAAGTAAACAGTGAAAGATAAGCTATATTAAAAATAAAATCAGCAAGCTACATTTACAGGAGAAAATACAAAAGGCAAGAGGCCTTATAGCCTAGCATCACCTATCAACAGGAAGAAGAAACCAGTGGTCAGAAGGAGGAACACTGGTAATGAGATTTCGTTCCCATCCTCAGAGAGTTGCAGCTGATGATGAGAATATACATGTCATGAACATATAAAATATAGATTTATATGTACAAATATACAATAGGAAATAGTATACAAATACTTACATGTAAAAATATCTTTTTTACTTTCTGCTTTTCATGATTTACAAAAGCATACAAAGTTTCCTACTGGTTAATGTTAAAGTAGTGAGTAAACCCTGTGTGTTGTGTTCCACACGTAATTCTTTCAAGTGTTCACAGTATTGGCTATTACAGTGTTGAATCTGACATTCCAGATGTTAAAATATTCTTAGGACACATTCTAAACTTAAAGCATTCATTTAAATACAGTTTAAATAAAATTCATGGTCATATTACAAATGAATCTGCTGCAGTTGAAAACTTTCTGTGAAAGTAAGCTCGGAAATGCTTATTTCAACTAGAGATGAGTATATTTTAAAATTCTTGAACTGCTTCTTGATGTGTAGATAATACAAAGTGGTGAGTTCTTTCAACTCCACCTGAAGCAGTGCAGCTAGGGGAGCTTAGTATTACAAATTATCCTCAGTAGGAATAAGGACACACAGAGCAATCTGCCATCAGATCCAGACATGCCATCACTTTCTTCAAATACCCAATGGACAAGAAAAAATGACAGGTACCATTGTTTTTGTGGTAAGAATGAATGCACTGTAGCATTCTTTATCAGCAAGGTGCTTCATGGATTCATATTAATCCTCACAACTCCCTTGTGAGGTAGATAGGTATCACCCCATTTTTTAAAGATGGAGAAGCTAGAAAGATAAATTATGATGGCTAAAAGGGAAATACTGTCAGTACTGCCTTTGGATGTTGGAGCAACTCAGAAGCATAACTGGAGAAAATGGAGATGCTCATGTGACAGACTTACTCTAACCAGCTTGGATACTGACAGCAGACTAGTTACACCAGCCAAAAGTTCAGTGTGGGCTATAAAAGAAAGCCAAGTTCCACACTGCTGGAGCAAAACTGTTGGATAGCAGTTTCAAAAAGCATAAAACGCATCATCCAAGATGGTGCAGCTTGATCAGGATGGAATGAAGCTGCATTTTAGAAGGTATGAATTAATCAAGAACCTTGAGCAAGTAATATTTTCTGATGTGAAAGCTGCATGCAGTTCAAGAACCATGTTTAGCTCATCTCTAATTTTAGCATACACCCAAGTGCTAACATGTAAAAGTATTTAGATGTTTTTTAACATTTGCTCACTAACATGAAAGACAACTAGACTTTGGAAGTCTGTATATTTCTTCATATTTCCTTTGTGGAAAATTTCTGCTAATAGCACAAATGAAACTATTTCTGCAGTACTTTCGGTACTGCAATTGAGCCAAAGATACTGATTTTAATTAACTAAGGTGATGGACAAGTTCTAAAGGACAACCAAGTTCCCTGTGAGCATCTGCACACACAGGAAATCTTATCTCTTTTTAACTGCTGAAGAAAAATCCAGTTAAAGCATAAAGTGCATTGGATGGTAAAACCCTTAGAAATAACAAGCACTGTGTCTGCCTTCCACAGTTTGGTTAGCTTCACTTAACAGCTGAACCATCACCCACTTTGTCTCCTGGTTTTAGTTTACTGTTATCCAGGCTGAAAAAAAAGCCTGCCAGATGTAAGCAAAATTATTGTAAACTGACACAATTTTGTAATATTATGCTATTCAGGAAGAATTAAGAAAACCAGTATCAAGATACCGTCCAGTTGGGGTGTGTAAATATTATTGTGTGTTTTTTGGCCCATTTAGCAAAAACTTTCTTTTCTGTGATAAACCTATGGCCTCCATACGGAGCATTTTCATGCAGAAAGTATTCTTCACACTCATCTCTTCCTGGCTCGTAATAATGGTAGGGAACTTTGCGAAAGCCTTCTGACCTAGGGAAAGAAAAGATAGACTTAAGAATTATTTCCAAGAACATCAATAATATATACTGCACCTGAATTAACTGAAATCCTTTCTGTTTATTGGCACTTCAGCTCCTTCTCTAAATTGTGTGAGGGCTTTAATTATAATTTAATGATTTTTACAGTTTGTATGAATTGTACTTTAGAAAAGGAAGCTAAAAGTGTATCTCTTGGCATATGCTGGTGTTATCGGTCAGCAAAAAGCTGAGGGGATAGCTCTTAGTTTAGTTTGGCCGTAAGGAACTATTAGTCCATGAAGCTCCATTCCTGAAGACAGTGTACTCATTGAGTAGTCCAAAACCTTGAAACGGGTCCTTGGACTGGATGAATAAGGTAGTTAGAATCATCTACATTCCAAGAAGGTGATGCAGGCAGAACTGCAGCTTTAAGAAAACCCATCCTTATCTGCTGTCAACAGACTTAAGTGTTATCCACAGCATTAACTGGTTTTACATCCTGGCTATGCAGTGGCAGCTCAGCTGAACTCTGTGAGGACAACTTTAGTTCTGTCACTCCTCATCTCAGGGCACCTAGTGTGTTTTCATAAACAAAGAACAACATATGTTCATTCCATCTGGATGACTCAGTCAGTGGGATCTGCAAATTCTAAAAAGTCTCTCTCTACACTTATGATATCCTAATTAACCAGCTGTGACTCAAATGCCTTTTTTGGGGGCTGCTCTACTAGAATGACTGCCACACTGGAGTGAAGCAGAAAACAAAGTGAGTGTCTGCATGACCTTACTCTAGGAGCTGGGGACTCTCTGCACTGGTTACATGCAGGACATGAACCAGCCTGACTACAGAAAAATAGGCTCAGATTAACCATTTATTGTTTATGACATTTCCTGCTTTTGTGAATGAGGAATTGTTTCATTTTATATTTGCTGCCTTATACTGTAGGTTCAAGCATTTCACTTGGACTTTTAAAAATAGTGTTTATAGTTATACTTCTGACAATAGAATTAATCCATTGTCACTGTAAGGTCACTAACAGTAGTTGGTTGGAATTTATGTCAGTTTACTGTGATAAAGCCTGCAGGACTTGTTTTATTATCTAATTAGAAACCCCCTACTATTCCAAACAAGCCATATATAAACTAGAAAGTTCAAGTAGGTTGCTCAATGGTGGTAAAATGTAATTTCAGGTAACTATCCAGAGTAATCAGTATCTTTCATTTTCAGGTGTAGTTGGCATGTAGAGAACTAACATATTAGTATTTCTTCTTTAGCAGTAAAGTACATTTTGTCAAAATAGCAACATACTTTATTTCCAGCTAATTCAGAAACTGTAGAAAATCTTTGATTAAAAATAGTTCCTTATGACATCTGGTGTTAGGTTTTGTAAATGTTTTTATTTTATCAACAGCAAATGCCATATCAGTACGAAGTATGCTGACTATATAGTCTCACATCAATGCAAAACACTGGGAAATGGCTGCCTGATCCATTTTTTTTTGGATTTATGATATTAAAATCAATTGTGAAATTTTGACAAGACATCAGCATTGTAGATGCATGAAAATAATTTCCTGTGATCTTACTTGCAGTAGGTGTCATTTATCATCCCATAGACGTGAATTCCATAGCAGGCATCCATAGCCAAAATTAAGGTAAACCAACCCGTACTGAGATATGAACCTGACTGGACTCTGTGAAAATACAACATACAGAAAATAAATTGCAATGAGAAATTACCAACACTTTATCAAAGAAATGTAATCTATTACTTGGGACAAAAGACATTAAGCAACTTGACAATCTGTCAAAACTACACAATTATTTTGAATTATTTATAGATACACTCTCATTCTTGCCAGCTTGAGGCCTCAAGCTATTGTCCACAGGAAAAAAAAACCTTCAAAGTTAAAATCTGAAGTCAAACAATGCATCTCCCATTAGACAGAAAATTATTTATTTGTACATCCAAAAGATAACGATTACTAGAGCTTGTAAAATAAGATTACGTTCATCAGAAAGCAAACTACTGGCAGAGCTTGAGCTGTATGCATGTGGGTATTCACTGTTCTCTTCCACAAGCAAAATTTTACATCCTCTGCCTGAAAATTTGCACAGAGATTAAAGCTTTAAGGCCATTTTGGTGGAAAACCATATAACACAATGCTTTGAGAAACAAAACTTTTTGTCCATTGCTTTACACAAGCTTGTGCTATCATTAAGATAACAAAGCAAAGAGAAAGCACAAGAGAGCAGTGCCCAAATTGATAACCTTTGCTGAAATAACCAGTTCTATTAAATCAGTCCAAAAGTATTACCTACATGAGTGAGAACAAATGACACTCAAGGATTGGACTCACATGTTGGCTATGTAAGCAAATGTGTACACTGTTAATTACAGACCAAATCTTGTTCACTTTACTCACACAAGTGTTACTAATGGTGGACAGGGAGTCAGCAAAACTACATATACAATCTGAGCAAGCAATACATACTGCTTTACCTTGTAAATAATAAGAACTCAGCACTCAGTGTTTACAAGCAGGTTGAAATCTTGCTTTGCACATGTATGGCTTTCAGTTTGATTGAAATAAATGAAAATCATTATTTTGAAATTATAAATAACTTGTCCAATTTCCAAGAAGTTGTAGCCCTAGCTTTAGTTAATAAGTTTGAGAGAACTTGCTATGAGTGATAGGAGGGGATAATTTAACTTTATGCCATATCTTCCAGCTTTAAGCTCTGGGTACAGCAGGGAGCAGTCTGTTCTCCATCATAAGTTAAAGTAACCTAAGGTTTGCACTCAATTAAGTTTGGCTACAAAAGAACTCCCATGTAGGCCTACGTGCAAATCAGCTTTTCCCAGCACCAGTATCTTCTGAAAACATTTTCATCCTGGTGTAGGAATAAAGCTTTCATTTGGAAAAAAAAAAAAATAGATAGATAGATAGATAGATAGATAGATAGATAGACAGACAGACAGATAGATAACATATAGCAACACATCCAGACTATAAAATCTAGCTTTTCTGTGAGACAGAAAAACCATTTTCAGGGGCTTCTTCCCAATTCAGAGCATGGATGTACCATGGTAACCTCTGGGTAAATCTGCCAATCAGTGGCTTTTAGCTCAGATTCTCTGTTACTTCCTTGCAGTTTGACAAAATACTAAGAAGATGGGTAAAAGTCTACATGAACAACCTTTATAATGACATTTACCTGACGCATATGAGACAGAGATTCAAATTCCTGCCCTGGTGAATGCTTACCATTATGGAAATTAGACTCCAAGAACTTTACATTCCTAAAGAAACTCTAGCTCTTCAAACAAATATTGTTATTTCAGTGAAAAACAACTATCTTAACCCCTTGGGAATTCTTCTGTACACGGGAACACTCAAACAACTCAAGGCTACATCTTCCATTCCTTGCCCATGTCAAACATTCCTCACAGCTTAGACAGAGTGAACTTCTATCCTTACTCTTTCCAAAAAGTCTTTTTCCTTGGGGAAGCTCCTCTGTAGAACTGACTTTATTGAGTAAAGGACAATTCTGGAAGCAAGAAATAAAGGGTTAAGTTAGTGCTGAAAATGGCCAATGGGAATAGGCCAGGATGTTAAATATTCGTTTTTCCTTAAATGGAGACCAATTATAATTGTGTATTTAACTTGACATCGTATAGCCACAAAACTGTACATTTGTTTGCCTGTTCCTCTAGGATCTCCATTTCTTCAAACAGAATTTTTCTCAAAGAGAATTCCCAACCCATTTCATGTTATTTCAGAGTAGCATCCTGCCATGATAAAAAGCTGCATTGCTTCTAACTTGCTTCCTGCGCTTGCACCAGTACACTACCCTTGAACTTTTAAAGCCATTTAAAATCATAATAACCATTTATAAAACACTATGAAGATCAGGATCCTTCCAATAATGGATATTTATTGGAGAATACTATATTGACGATAACATCTAAAATTTGCTATACTCAGGAGAAAAACAGAATTTTAAAAAAAGAGTTAATCAATATTTCATGTCCTGTTTTAACATCATTGAACCTTAGTCCTCTCATCTATATACTACAGTGGCAGAATAAATAAAAACAAGAGAGTGAGTTTCTAGATACCTTCCCTGGGAGATGAAATACATGACAGCATATAGATTATGTGTTTTAAAACAAAGCACTTATATTCCTCTCTCTTTTTTTTTTTTTTTTTTCCTCTGAAGACACACAGGAATATGAGGGAATACACTTAAGCAGTGGGGACTCTGGATGATTTGGTAACACCTTAGAATTCAATCTGATACTGTAAACGTACTTTCAAAATTCCAGTGAAAGCAATATTAGAAGTGTGAAAACAATTTTAGCTGTCCTTAAAAAGTCATAAATCTTGGAATACCTTTTAAAATATCATCCCATAAAACTGTACTGCAAAGCAATGTCTCAGCCCTTGTTATTATGCTAACACCATGCATGCAATTTCTTTCTCTACAGGAGAGTTTTTTTTTGGCCAGGGCTTTTTGAGTCCTATGTGAGAGTTCCTCTTGTTACTGTAATTGCATTGAAATTTCAAATTTTACTTTTACATTAGAAGTAAAGAATAGCATACATAGCATCTATGATACTGCACAAATCTGAAGGTAAAAGAACATTCATCTCCAAATAGGGGAAATAAGAGTTAGCTAAGCGTCATCTGTAGACGCACAAATATATATATATATATATATATATAGGCAAATCTACTGTGATATATGTGCACACAGCAAATCCAAAGTTCTTCCCTATGGCTCCAAGTGACTTTTTCTTATACGGTAAAATTAATGGGGCACCAGATCTAGGCAAGAAATTGTCTCAACAGCTGAAGAGAAACTAATGCACTATTTTTCAAAAAACGCATTTAAAAAAGGATGATTTTGCTTTCAAGAAGTGATTTACAGCTGGGTGCAGCAAGAAAAAAGCAATGCTCACAAAAAGTTACTTTGTCTGTTTTTGTTGAAAAGGAAAGTTTACTTTGCATACTTCCTACATTACAAGGATTATTAAAGAAAAGTGTTATTGGGATGTAATTCGTTCTGCTAAATATCATCCAGCATATGCTTAACATTAAACAATTGAAAAGACCAATTAGATCAATTTAATTAAGACGCTTAAAACAAAGTATATGCTTGTCTATCTTGCTCTTAGTGAAAGTTTATCTGTTAAACATGTCATTATCTTATCTTATAATATAAAAGTGCCAAGATTACTCATTATTTGCAAATGGCAAAACATATAATTTGCACTTTATCTGTCGTTTCTCACAACATGTTAAGACTTTTCTTCTGTATTTTAGAAGAAAATGGTAAAAATATATCTAGAATTACTAGATTTGTCACGTGTGATACAAAAAAAACCTTTTAATTAAAAATAATTTTAAATACAGACAATTAGACAGAGTTCTTTTGCCTCAGCTTTCCGATACTCTACAAAAAGCATATGAAATAGATATAAAGAAGATGGAGTACAGAATGCCTCATAAAAATGCTGCAGACTGAAATTCATCTTGACACCTATAACCACACTTTGATGTCAGAAAAACGAAGGAAAAACTGGTTCCTTCTTTCATCAGAGGAAAATGAAGGTATATTTTTTTAATGATGAAGTGCATGTGAGTTCAAATTGGGTGAAACTTTTGCTGTCACTTGAGTTCTGATTTTACCATTAGATTCTAAGAGGCTATTTTCTTTATTCGGTTGTCTCAGGCCTTTTATGTGGACAATCAATTCTAGCTCTATGGTTCAGTGGATTGTAATTTCCAATGAGGAGTTTCATGTTAAAATTTAAAATTGAAAAAAAATAATGTTTGTTAAGGTAGAGACAATCAGTAGACAAGTAATTTCATGTCAATCTGATTCCAGAAAATTATTTAGGAGCTTATTTTTTATTCGTTCCTCGGAGAAACCAAAGAGCACAGAAGGTCAGTAGAGAGTGTTAATTAAGGGGAAAATCTAAGAAATTTCGGACTTCAAGAAGCTATTAAGCAGCAGCCAAAAGTATTAACTAGACGAGTTTTTTTTGCCTCATTTCAAAATATTGCAGTAAAATGGAATTCAACAATGACAGATTGAAATGACAAGATTCTCCAGGCCAATTAGTTGACGAAAACACATAAGCACTTATCTCATAAGTGCTGTTTATAGACTCAGATCCTCAGTTGACCCTCCTACCAAAACTACTGAATCATCAGCAGTTTTACTTACAGCAGCTTGTCAGGCCCCGGATTAGTAAATAAATTAGTAAAACTTTTTACTAAAAAATTAGTAAATAAATTAGTAAATAAATAAATAGAATCATAGAACCACAAGGTTGGAAACGACCTATAAGATCATCTAGTCCAAATGTCTTCACACTACCACTGCTACCACAAGCACTAAACCATATCTTGCAGCTCCTCATCCAGACACCTCTTGAACACTGCCAGGGACGGCAACTCTACCACCTCCATGGGCAGCCATTCCAGTGCCTGACCGCTCTCTGAGAGAAAAAGTTCTTCCTTAAGTCTAACCCAAACCTCCTCTGGTACAACTTGCGGCCATTTCCCCGGGTCCTGTTTGTTGCCTGGGAGAAGAGGCCAAACCCCTCTTCACCACAGCCTCCCTGCAGGAAGTTGTAGAGTGTGATGAGGTCTCCCCTGAGCCTCCTCTTCTCCAGACTAAA